GTGTCCCTGAGGCACAATCTGTACATATTTAAATTTTTTTTGTGTGTAATGGTATTTTAACTGCACTTTATTTCACCATTAACTGGAACCTCTGACATTAGTTCACTCAGTCACCTGGAAACCATGGTCAGTGTTCGCAAAAATTAAAAAAAACCAAAACATCAGTTATGTTTTGATGTATTTCTGTTGGGGCTGGTCATCACCTGCTGCTGTCGCTGTGGTCTTTTAACGCATCGCAGTCCTCGACATGTCAAATTCAACAAGTGCTCATTTGACTAATATTAATTAACAACTAATCTAATTCATTCTGAAGACATAAACAAACTCTGCACTTATTCCCTGTGATATTCCACGTATGTCAACACAGATGTAGTAGCTACAAACAACAAAAGTATGGAAGCCTCGACTCGTGTGTTTAGTATACGACTCCAGTCTGAGTCTGTGACTCAAAGTCAAAAATTAGTATGTTCAGATAGTTTGAAAAAAAAAAAAAACAGCATCTGAATAAGGCAGTGATTACAGCAGGAGGCGCCATTGTTTTTTTTCAGCAGGGTACGAAAAGTGGTGAACACAGTGGGCTTAAAGTTTTATTTTTATCTAATTACCTACAAAACCATCAGCTCAGGGCGGCTTGTAAAAGAAAGAGACCACCAGAATGTTATAGTAAAGAGTAATACCACTGTTATGTTGTGGTTCCACTGAACTTTATTTTCAACAATCAAACCTAACTCATATTCTAATTTAACATAGGACATATCCTTTCTATTAAAAAAGAACAGGTTGAGCCACTTTGTTAAAAATTATTAAGAAAAAAAAATAGTTGAATTCCCGCACCCCCTAGAAGGACCCGCCCCCCACTTTGAGAACCACCGAGCTACAGTAACCTCCACAATTCATTTGTAATGTTAATTCTCGTCTGTGCTTTTGTGTAAAGCCAGGTGACAGTGGTCTGGGTGCTGTAACACTGCTCCCAGAGGTTCAATGTGTAGGCTTTAAAAAACAAAAAATAAAAAATAAAAAGAATTCTATATATACTTTAAGACACCGTTCGCAAGATTGAAGCTGGTCTTTGCATTTGTAGAATGGTTTTGACGTGCAGACATAAAATGCCAAACTCAATCGGACTCTTTACTGTGTGTAGTGAAATCGACAGAGACCAGAGCCGAGACTGATCTCCAGATTTTTATTATGACAGAGGAGGCTCCGCTCTCATCGGCGCCTCCTGTGGCCCAGTTGTAAAAGCTGAAGAATTTTTTTTGTTTTTTGTTGTTTTTTGTTTGTTTTATTTTTGTTGTTGTTTTGTAAAAGTCAAACCACTGGTAAAAGCACGTCCTTGACATTCAAACATTTTGTTTTTCTTTTATTCTGAAGGTTTTTACTCTGTGAAAATTAGTTTTGAATCTTTAATCGCACTTATGTTATCATTTTTCAAGAGTTGTTTGACGAATCTGCCCCTCGGACTGACTGAGATGTCAAGGTTTCAATGTCTTCAAGTCCAGTTGTCATAACCACTGGACTGGATATGAAGTTACTACAGATGTAACTGACCAGTTCCAGTGTCCAGCTTTTTATTTTACATCAGCCACAGAAAGTCATTCTCCTTCGACATGTTTGTAATGTCGTGTTTTTTTTCTTTTTTTTTAGATATAAACATTGAATTTTGAACTGAACTGAAAAATGAGTAAATAATTTACGTCGTCAGTGAGTTGACGATCCTTCCAGTCTTAAAGCTTTTAACTTAAACCTTTTCTAATCTGATTCGTTTTCAAAATTTACTCCAGAGGAGTTGGAGAATCTTCACAGAATGCACTTGGATAAAGCACAGAATGTATTCTTTTTTTTTCTTATTTCTTTTTTTTGCCAAATCTTGAACTTTGTCTGCCATATTCTGCCTACGATTGTGTTTACAGAATGTTGTCTTTTTTTGTTTTGTTGTTGTTGTTAAAGAAACCAGTTTGAATTCCTTTGAGATGATGGAGTAATGAAGACTGGGTGGCTGCAGATTAGATGTCGGAGCTGGTTGGCTCATCCACGTCACGGTGACAGGAACAGTGTTTTTAAAACTGCATAGAGCTTGTAAATGTTTCATATCCAGTTCTAGTACTCTGCTTCACTGTCAGTGGTGTCGTACAGTAGCAGCGTGTCAGCAGATTTACAGGCTTTCTACACGGAGCACAGAGACGCCTCCCACGGACTCTGCCACGTTCATGCTCTTTTGACCTATTTTTTCGTTTGTCCACCGTGAGTTGATGCACATTTTTTTCAGATTGTAAAAGGCGGAAATAAAAAACCCAAAGTTGGACACTTGCTGTTTTTGTTTTAAATGAAATAAAAATGTGTGCTTCACTGTTCGACACATGAACGTGTCATTCAAATAAAAGAAAATACTTCTACCACTGAGGGTAAGTTGTAGTTCTTTGTCAACAGTAAGGTGGTCATATGACCGCCATTTAATACACACATTGTCTAATAATATCAACCACAACATTGTCGTTAGCATGATAGCTAGCATAGCACAACAGCTGTTTAAATTCACACTCGTCGATAAAAGAAATTAAGATTATTATTAAAATAATTGGGATTAAAATAAAGTTAAAATAATTTAAATTAAAATAATTAAAATAAAGGGAGAAATGGAAATCAATGATTTGCTGTCGCAATCGCTGAAAAAAGGACAAAGCTGAAAGAAAAATAAGAAAAGAGGATTGAAATAATGAACATATCTTACATTTTACATTTGTTAGTTTGTTATCAAATTAAAAAAAATTGTCTTATCCAAAAATAAACACAGTTATATTAATATGCTAGAAATAATGGAGAGAATTAAAGAAAATGACGTTGTTTGTAGGTGTGCTAAAAAGCTAAGCTAACATCCATTATCCACCGCTTATTCCAATGCGGGGTCGCATGGTGGCGCTGGAGCCAATCCCATTTCTTACTAAAAGTGGCTGTAAGAATGCCGGAGACCTCGAATCCCACATTTTAATGAACATTCAGATGATTTAATGAAGAGTTAATGTTTCTTCATCGTCAACCGTTAACAACCGAAGTGCTGTTTTTGTCCAGCACTGTCCTGTTTGTCCTGTTTTTTCCTGTCTCGGTGTACATGCTAATAATATACGGATATTATCGACGTGTAGAGTTTCCTGTCTCGGTGTACATGCTAATTAATATACGGATATTATCGACGTGTAGAGGGAAAAACGTCAAAATGACTCAAATATTTATGGCTGATCTAATGTCAATTTAAATATATGTACAATACGGTTGTTTTTAATGTTAATCTACAACAAGATTTTCGAGGTACAAATTTGCAGTACTTGCTTGTAGCCACATGAGGTCAGTGTAACTCTTTGAATGAAGTCCACATTGGTGCAGCTGCAATCAATTACTTCCTCTCCCTGAACTGATTGCTGCTGCAGTTGTTCGACGTGTGTATGTATGTACATATATTTTTTATTATTAAGTATTTTACCATATGTTTGGTCGTATAGCAATAAAAAACAAGTAACGTTTATTTTGTGATATATTTGTTGACTATTTGACCGAAGTTCTGCCTTAATTTGAAGGCCAACAAATACTACAACAAAAAGGAGTTTGGTGATTGTCGTCCAACAAATTGGTCCCGGTGCTCGGTCTTCAGGTTAAAGCAAGATTCGGGTAAGTGACCTGTGGTCTCCACCTGCTTCACACTGACACACCCGAATATTTAGACTAATAAGAAAAACAAAAACTAAGTTGAAAGTGTCTGCTACTTCTCTACTTTTGTTGTGCAGCTTAAGTGTTTTGTAAACACAGCGGAGCATTGACAAACCTGCTAAGATGACGTCATTCGTGTTAACGCCATCTTAGCGTTTTTCATCACTATGTATTATTAAATCCCAGATAATCTTCATTTATTTGTTTTTTATTTGTATTTTGCCCTTGTTACGGGTCGTCACAGCGATAGTCCAGATGATTTTTGCAACTTGCAACCGGGGATTTGGGAACAGTTAAAAAATACAAAAAAATAAAATAAAATAAATACAATGCAGACTAATGTAAATTAAAAAAGTAAAGTAAAACTTTTTATTATTTCTTTAACACCTAGTAGTAAAAGATTGATGGTCCATTCACCGCCTTGTGCCTGATTACGACTGTTTTATGGTAAAAAAAATAAATCATTTCTCCTCAATGGTTGCATATGGAACATCCAGTTCCAAAGCTGTACTAAATCATGATGAGAACCATCGCTACGACGCCCACTGCTGGAGCGAAAAAGTATTTTTTTCCCCTGTCCCCTTAGAATGAACAAAGCACAAACCCAAGCGTCTTTATTGGTCTCACTCTGGCTTTACAGAAGTTTTCTTCCTTGCTGACCTTTCCTGACACATGAATTCTCTCTCTCTCCTCACTCACATTTTTGTCCCTAAATGCTGCGTTCCATAACAGTACATCGGGCGCGTTAACACAGTTTAAATGACACCTCGGAGTCACTCGGAGCGTTGTGTCCACCCCGCTGCGGTGCTTGATGGATTCAGTGTATTTTTAGTCGGCGCCCGGACACAGTGGCAGACCAGACGCTTTTTATCATTTGTACACTGTGACAAAATGGTGACACAATTTGACAGATCCGCTCGGGCTCCTTGTCCACCGCACTGGATACTGTACTGCATGGAGTACATGTTGCAGTACATACAGTAGTAATAGGGATGTCCGATACTAACCTTTTACCGATATCCGATATGTTGATATTGTCCAAACATTTATTTATTTATTTGTACAAACTACTGTATGAGTATGACATTAATAAAATGAGCTGCAATGCTGCCATCTAGCGACTTTCACTTTAATATGCAGCCGGATATCCCCAAAACTATTTTTAGGACTCACATCATTCAGCGAAACCCAGGCGTTGCATTATCGGGTTTTTATTGTCGGAGGAAAAACCGATAACGATTCCTACAGATATTACATAAAATGCTAATATCGGGCCGATAATATCGTCCGGCCGATATTATTAGACAAGTGGTGGTATAGTAGTGTTAGCAGTATTAGTGTTGGTATTAGGAGAGGTCCCTGAGGTTCCTTAGTGCAGTGGTTGTCATGCATGCCTTACACATTTACCAAAAGGTTCAATTTTTCAGTATGGCCAGTAGGTGGTGTTTGGAGTTGTTGTGTTCAAAGTTATTTTGTAGATTATGTCTGCAAGTGTATGTGTGTGAGATGTGACCAGTCTCTGGCAGAGGGTTCATGACCTCTGAGTGATGGTGTGTGTGTGTGTGCGTGCTGCAGACAGACAGACAGACGGACACACAGCTGTCATGCCATCAGTCAAGAGTTAAATGGTGAAATGATGCATTCCTAAAGGACAGCAGACCAGTCTGGTCATACTTCTCCTCCAGCACCTGTCAGCACCCGGCGCAATTACTCACCTACACACACACACACACACACGGAGTGACCGTCTAGTCTCCTACCAGTTCTGTTTAGATTACTGCAGCAGTCGTGACTGACAGTCAGTGGCTATCGTTATACGAAAAGTACACAAACACCCATAAGTTCATGAGTTCATCCTGTCAGTGTTTGTCAAAGACGTCCGTGTGAGGTGAGTCAGAGACGCAAACAGGAACCCAGGGTCAGTGTGTGGTCAGAATGTTCAAATTTTAGTTCACATTTTCATCATCCTACCAACACGTTGGTCAGTCAGTGATGACTAACTCGATGTTGGTTCGTTTGAGGCTTGGAAAAAAAAGTCTAAGGAAGATATATATTAAAAAAAAAAATCTATCGCCATCTATTTGTTTTTGCAATGAACAATTTCATACTCTTCCACTAGGTGGCAGCAAATGCTACAAAAAATAAGAGACTCTTGTTAGATTTGTGTCTCGTGTCTTTCTTCAATCCCTGTGAGTATGTTAGTGTTGTGTTCAACTAAACAGGCCAAGATTTCACACTGTGTGAATAACTAGGAAATTGATCCTATGTTTTGGAATGAACATTTTAAACTTCCAGTCTGTAATCACAACCTGAATGTGATTGATCCTATGTTTTGGAATGAACAAATTCCAGTCTGTAATCACAACCTGAATGTATGAAAAAATATATTTAATGTGAGTTTAAATTTTCTCTACTCCCCGGCGTCCAAACAGACGTCATTCTTTGTCACACGTCCAAAAATAACCTTCAAGGACCTTAACTTTTCAGGGGGAGTCACACCATCCCACAGGCATGAAAACATCTCACTCCCCTCTGTTCTTTTCTCATTCACCATTCATGCGTTTTTATCTCCGGTGACTGAGCCGCGAGCCCATCTGCTCTGATGTCCAACTAAATTTAGTTAAAGACCCACAGTTGCCTCTTTGCTTTATTTCAACGGAGACATGAAACCGTGCACCACCTGAGCCCCGCTGGTAAACACTACACCACATGTTCTGATGAGCGGCATGTACTGTACTGGACTGTACCGTACCGTACCATACTGGACTGGCCTGGACTGGACTGGACTGGACTAGACTGGACTGGACTGTACTATACTGTATCGCACTGTACTGTACTGTACTGTACTAAACTGGACTGGACTGTACTGTACTGTACTGTACTGGACTGTACTGTACCGTACCATACTGGACTGGTGGATACTGGACTGGACTGTACTGGACTGGACTGTACTGTACCGTACCGTACCATACTGGACTGGACTGGACTGGACTGGACTGGACTAGACTGGACTGGACTGTACTATACTGTATCGGACTGTACTGTACTGTACTGTACTAAACTGGACTGGACTGTACTGTACTGTACTGTACTGGACTGGACTGTACTGGACTAAACTGGACTGGACTGGACTGGACTGTATTAGACTGTACTGTACTATATAATATATTAGATTGGTAAGAATGAGGTCGTTATGATAGGATATAAAAATGTTATATACCCAATAATAATTTGTGGTTGCTGTGATGTACTGATGAACTGTCCAGGGTGTTGTACCCCGTCCCTCGCTGTGGACAACATTTTTTTTTAGTAGTCATTTTTAGCAGTTCTTTGTGGAGATTTGAAGCAACAGCTACAATATTTTCAATGTACAGTAGAGGGCTCCACATTACTTCTATCTATGTACAAAAGGAGGGCTGCAGATCTAGTTTGAGAACCACTGCATTAATGTGACTTTGAAACACTACAAGTACGACGAGATTCTCTGTCTACAGTACAAATACTTTTTGTTTTCCTGGTTTAGATCCAGTAGATCCAAATACTGTATTAGCTGGACTATAAGTCGCATGTTTCGCATGTTTATTTTCACACTGACAGCCACTAGGGGGCAATCTAGGCTTGTGTTGAGTACCAGTATCAGCTACTCTTTTAAGTCTTTTTTTTTTCATCCTTTGGCTGGTGCGACTTATAGTGTGAAAAATACAGTGAGGAGTGAGGAAAATCACCCTTCTCCCTCCCCACTGTCACAGTCTTTATTATCCCTCAGGGAAGATCGTGACGAGAGAAAGTCGGGAAAAAGTTCTGGACCTAATTGGCAGCGGCAAAGTGTCAAAAATTGGCCTGTGAACCATATCTGTAACCCTCCCTGAGAAATGTTTTTATAAAAAAAAGAAAAGGAAAAAAAATGAGCCTTTTAATAAATAAGTGCGATCAGGTCAGCGATCTTTAACACAGTTGAAGTCTCATTCATCCACTTTGTCACGTGCACATCACGTGCACACTTTTCTCTCATGCCTAGAAACCAGCGTCTCAGAACATCATTATCACAGAGAAGCCGCAGTCGATGAGCTGATTAAACTTTGAAACACCTCACTGGATAAATTTAGATATTAATTAGAAAGAAAAAGAAAAAGAAGAAAAAAAAAAACCACATAATTTTCTCCAAACTGCTGTAGCCGCTTCACGAGTGAAGCTGCGGCGCCGCCGCCATTAATAATGGCCATTATGTGGAGACAAGGATGCTGACACAGAATTATTTACTAATGAATGTGAATTAGCTTAATTAATGGCCTCATTAACATAACTACTTATGTTCAATATATCACACAGATATGGTGGGACATTAAGCAGCTCAAGTGTCTCTCGTTTATTACGGTTCCGCCTCATTATATTTCCGTGCGTTAATATTTCACGACATGTTCTGCCGTCAAATGTTCATTATTATGTGTTTAAAATCTTCTTCTTTTGTCAAATCTTTAACGGTCGCCGTTTCCCTGATTAGGAATAAAAATTGTTAGTGCTGCTGCTAACGAGTGGGCAGTGGTCATAATTTAGTTGATTGGTATTTAGGCCAAAGAGTTTAGACGGAGAGTGTTGTACTGACACTAGGAGAAAGTGAGACATCAGTGAGATGTGCAGTCGGAGCGACAGATGGGTTCAGGTTAACAGTTGGGCTACATCAGGGAAGTGCACTGAGATTTGAATTATTTACGACGGCGATGGACGAGTTGACAGGTGTGATTAGGCCGAGAACCACGTAAATCCAAGCCAACAGGTGGCGCTGATATGTAGTCACACAACTAAAAGTTGTAAAAGTTAACCAATAATAATGATAATTATCCCTCCTTAACAAGTTATTGGCTATGTGTTAAAAATTACAAAAAAAAAATTAATTGATAAAGAGAATCATTTAATTGAAAACCTAGTTTTAAAAGTTTAATTTACTATTAAATTGACCGTGA